ACAACAACAACAACAACAACAACAACAACAACAACAACAACAACAACAACAACAACAACAACAACAACAACAATAATAATTGTATTTATACCCCACCTATCTAGTCATTTCGACCACCCTAGGTGCCTATATAACATAAAGACCTTAATGAAAGAAATACATAAAATCTCAGAGAGTTCTCTGCTGTACAGCCTAGAACAGAATTCTATGAAGCAGACATATAGACAGTTGTAGGGAGCTGTAGTTAGCCCAAATTAATTCAAGACATGCCCTTCTCTGCACCTTTGGGGAAGGGGAACTTCTCAGCTTAACCTGCATATGTAGTCTGTTGCTCACTTGCTATGAAGCTTACTGGATTTATTTCCTGTATCTGGTGATGGCACTTTCATCCCTAAATGATAAATCCTATACTGACACACCTCTGAGCTAGCCCCACCACACTATGTTTCAGTTCAGCAATCCAAGCACAGAAGCAGGCTTCCTTAGCCTTTGATAGATTGGAAGCCTCAGATATAAGCAAAAAAGGATATGGAGCCAAAACAAAGTGCACCCAACTGAATTCCTGCATGTATCTGGAGAGCAATTCATGCTTCTATCAGTCTTGCAGATTAGAATGCACATCCTTATTCACTCAGTGTTAACAGACTATTAGCCATATGAAAGGATTTTCAGTGTCTCCAACTGCAACTGGTTTATTGCTACCATATTTCTCTGCACTAAAAGTTATTTATGCTTATTTAGAGGAAATACAACAAACCTCTGCTCCATTTAGTAAACAATGGACTGGCTGAAGAAGAGCTTCTATCACGGTATTAGTATACAGACATTCAGCAGCACATTCTTTTCGATCACAAAGAATTCTAAGCACATCAGTAACAAGGCCAGCTGGAGAAGAATTGGCTGACAAATTTAAAAAGAAATTGTTTTAAAAACAGTAGTGAGAAACTGTATAATAAATACAGCTAGGGAAATTACGGTATATAAAGGAACTAAAGTTATTTCTTTTCCCTTATCATCCTGAACTTCAAATCCCAGACAGATGTCAAGAACCATTCTATCTTCGCATTGCATACATAATTATACAACTGTGTCTACAGACACAGAGGAAATGAATAAACATGAAAGGAGAGAATTGTTTCTTCACAAAGTGAGGTGATTAAGAAATAACAGAGGAAATATAAAGGGCAATGTTACCTGAATGCACAGTCAGTGTCTTTGGGCAATTTGGAGAACAATAGATAAGACGGGTAAACATTATGACAAGGTCTGTCAGAGACATCAAATCTATGAAAATCAGAATGGGGAACAATACTTAAAAATATGTGCTATTTATAATCTAATTAACAACAATGCATGAACAATATTTTACATACCAATTAAAATTAAATTGATACAGCTTGTCTTGTTTTTCCAACAGCTTCACAAAATGAAGGTATTATTTTAACCATAATTAGGTAATTACCTGTGTAGAGCAATTCCAGAAGCGCCAAAAAAGTTTGTCAGTGGGATATTTTTACTCCTGGAAATATTTTAATCAGAAGGTTGTTTTATTTTGTTCTTTCAATAGCCGCTGGCATGAAGAACAAATGAAGAAGTCTGAGATAAACTTAAAATCTTGCTATGGCTCCATGGATCTTCACAGCCATAAACTGGCCCATTTCAAACAGAATACTAAACCACAGTTTAGCAGCTTGTGCTTGAGCCTCAGGCTTACATTCATTGCTTATGTTTCAACACATCCATGAAGTGACTGGGTGGTTTAAACTAAGCAGTGTTTTATTACACCTGAAATGGGATCTGATTAACCCCACCTTCCTTCCCCACCACTCTTTCCACAAGCATATCAGAAAAAGCAATATAAACAGAAAACTGATAGCGCAAGCAGCATGCATTAACTCTCCCTTCGACAGTGGCTCACCCACTTCTCCCCTTCCACATGCAGGAACTGCCTGGAGAGCACCGCACAGAGCATTTGAGGCCTGTTGATCAACCTGAATTTCCATTTATTCTCTGGGACATGACTTCATTTGTGAAACCTTTCTGTGTTCTCAAGGAAAAAGGCAACCCAAGGTTAACAGCACCATAGAGATGCATGTACCTTACCACACATAAGAAAAAGTCGCTTGGACTGTTTGTTCAGTAAGCTTTCCTACAAATCTTCACCCTTTTTCCATTTCCTGTGGAATAGCTAGCCCTCCACTGAGAGTGTTCTCCTGCCTTCCAAGACCACTGGTATTTCCAAGAGAGGCATGCAAAACAACCTCTCCTGGAACGGAAAAGAAAGCAGGTCTAATATAAAATAAATTCTCATTTGTTTCAGTATAGCCTTACCTTTTTTGTTTTTCAGCAGAATAGGAAAGAGTTTTCTGCCTTGTTTATATATCAACAATCTGCCTAAGAGGCTCAGGGAATGAACAAAACATATATACTGCAGGTCTTTTCCGGTGTACAAATTCTTCTGCTCATTACCTTGAAAGATAAGATAATCTATGAAAGAAACTTATTCCTTCTTCCTTTGCTTCATACATAAAAGTTGAAACAATTACTACTACGAAATGGAGAATAATGTATTATTAACCAAACTGCAGAGGCAGATAAATGGAACTCTCAATAAAGACTAGGTTTGTCATTTCAAAGCAGAAAGCCCACAAAGAGAAACCATTTGAAAACTGATTTAGGAATTCTGAGTAAGGCCACATTCATACCATTTGTCAGACATAAATATTCTGGTCACTGCTATAAATTTTTATTACAGTGCCAGCAATTACGATTTTTTTTTTCACAGAAACATACATTATGCAGGACACAGAAATATTATTTACCATTATGTAATGTGGAGAAAGAATGAAAGTGGCCTCTTCCATCAACTGCTGATTCACAAGCTTCCAAATAGGAGGCACACTGCTCAACAGATGCAATTATCTAAGAATGAAATATCAAAACCTTATCAATATACAAAGCAAATGCCTGAAACTCCCCAAATGCTTTAGAATAAAAAAAACACGGTCCACTTTACTGGGCTTTGAAGCCGAGGTAGATTTGTCTCATTGAAGTAAATTCTATATTGAAAGAAAGGTATACACACAATAATGTGAAACACTGGGCAAAATCCTGTTGATGCAGTTACATTGTTTTATCTTCCGTACTGAAAAAATAAATGACCCTTAAACCTAAGAATTCCATAACCACTGTATTCAATTGCCTCAAAGCATACACCTCCAAACAGCCATGTGAAATGAAGGAAATATAATGATAAAAACCATATTTTGATCTTCTAAAAATTCACTGCCAACCTGAATCTGAAATCCACAACTTACCAACGATCTGTATTTCTTTTCAAGCAACCTTAGCACCACTGTTCTGCTGTAATAAGCATGCTAAAATGACATAAACAAAACACAGCTCAATTTAACACTTGGCTTTATTTAATATAATATCACACTTCTTGAATTCTTTAATTATTACAATGAGTGCTAAAATAAAACAATATACTCAAATATTAGCACATACTGTCCGAAAAATCTGGACAGCACTATTTTTCTTTTGTATGTTCCTGCCTGCTGTATTTTCCTGTCTATTTCTTCTTGGAACTAAAACCAATTCTACCTACACTCTACTAAAACCACTGTACTGCATCCCTTCATCAACAGCAGGTTTCTCACCTTGCTGAAAGTTTCCATTGCCAGACAAGTCCGCTTTTTGTTCAATTGTGGAAAGTTTCAAAATAACTGCACCTCTTAATGTGTTACCACAGCATGATGGCCCACTAGCAATGGGTTGCTTTGCCTCTTCAACAATCTCCGATATGAGAATGTATTGAGGGATAAAGCAAAACCCAACAATATTTCATACAATTGCTTAGAAACTGTAACTCTTGTCCTGATTCTACATTGTAAACAGATGCTCACAGGATTATCAGCAAATTAATTTTAAAGACTAAAAGAGTGAGATACAATAAGACAGACATTCATACTCTCTTACCATCCATTTTTTAAACCATACAGCTTTGAGATCAACAAGAGCCAAGTAATATACTGGACCCAAAAATTCTGAAGAAACAGTGTGGCTTAATTCATGTTTGACTGACAGAAGTGATAGAGTACTTTCCATTATTTCTTCCATGTATCTAAATAGGTTATAAAGGAAAAGGTATTAAATAAGAATACAAGGTTATTGAAGTCATTCACATTAAAAATTTTCTCAGATAAGAAATTATAATGCAGGGGGGCAGAACAAATGCATTTTAGATGCTTCCTAACTTATTATCGATAATGCATCTTTAAAGGCTCAGAAAGTATACATACATTTTTTCTGTATACAATTAATGGAAAGTCACCTTTGAAAGTGAATTAAATGTATGATATGTAAAACTGCAATATTGGGAATATATTTATTGAGGAGTCAGTAGACTGTGGAATTAAATATTAAGAGCAGTGAGGAACTGCAGTTTATGCTTAAATATAGGCAAATGAGATCAAAGTTAAAGGTGACTATGAGGTGACTATGAGTCTCAGTACAATTTTTATAAAAAAACACACACACACTCACACACAAATAACCCAAGTGGACTTAGTCTTACACACAGGATTACTGTCTAAACCAAAACAAAAGCCAGGAAACATCAGGGCCCTCTGTACAAACCTCATAAGCAGAGAATTGCTGGAACAAATTAAATTTTCTATAAGAAAACTAGGGGTTCTGAGGTAAGTAATCATATTCCCCTTGCATTTACCCATACCTCAATCTATCTTGTGAAAGTCTCCACAAAGTCAGGAACAAATAAACTTACTACACCAACAAATAAATTGCACACTGTACTGTAGTATTTAGTTTAAGATAGTAGTAGTTAGTATTAAGAATTCCACACATGGAAGTTGTAAATGAAAAAAGAAAGGATGATTGCAAAACCATGACATACTTTTCTGGGTGACGAATCCAAAAAGATGGGACTTCCCTCTGGTACTCATTTAGCAAACGTATCTGTAAATAAACAAGTAACAGTTGCTTCACTCCTAAAAAATCTAGTGGAAAATAGCTTACATTAGAAAAGAAGTACAGTACAGGAAAATTGATCTGTACCTTTTTAAGCAAATGTATCACATTTGGGCTACTTATGTCAACACCCATTGACATGGTAGGAATATGATGATCCTCAGAAAGAAAGAACAGCTCTAGGTATTTTGCTGTAAAGTGGAAAACACTGGCAGTTATTTCAACAGCAAAATAAAATGGTGGTCTACTTTGGAAGGAAACTTTAATGAACATACCTAAACTCACATAGAGTTCTTTTGTCATATTCAGTGAAGAGGAAGAAAATGTCTTGGCATAGAATTTCAGAACTTTGTCCTGCAAAAGTAATAATTAAAGCTGAATTGTTAAGTCAGCATGCACTTATCTGCAAGATGCCAAGTCTGCCCAGGTTGGGAGCCATGTTATGCACAACACCAAAGACAAATCACACATATATCGCACATTTCCACCAAGAAGCTCATGGTGGGATATATGGTTCTGCCTTTTGTCTCTCTAACAACCCTGTGCAGGAAGTTAGGCTGTCCTCGCAACTGCTTTGAAAGTGAGATGCGTTGCCATATGAACTTCGTGGCCAACAGGTGATTTTTAAGCTTATCTTTCCAGTTAAAATCTGAAACTAGCTACTATACAACATGGGCCTTTGCAGCTCCATTAACAGACACCAGAGTATTACAGCATCTACATTTTCACTAAAAGTTTTCACTATTAGCAGTTACCTCTTTCCTTTTATCACTGGTGCAGTGCTTGTTAGAAAAGAGATTAAATCAATAGGGTTTGGCTTCAGGCATTCAGGAATATTTAAGGATGTGTTTTGTTTTGTTTAATTTTCTGGACCATGGATATCACAATTCTCCATTGTGAGAATTCTACCTACCTTGCAGACATCTGAGAAACATCTCAATGTGATGAACTTAGAAGAAAGGCCTAAGTGCTGTGGCTTGGCTAAGTCGAGTTCCATCCAATTGCCTTGCTCAAAAAGAAAGTTTCCAGATAGCACCAGGGCAGGAGGAACAGAATACTTCACCTAACTCAGTCTCAAGGCCTTTCTCTGAGGTGCATCATACTGAGGCGTTTCTCAGGAGCTCACAAAATACAAAGAACTTTCAGAATAGGTAATTATAGTATTTGTGGTCCAAAAACTTCAAGAATCTGATCCCTAGTAATATTCTGCAGCTTGAATACTACAGCTACCTGCTTCACATGGAATGAACCATTCCACACCAGACCGGCATATTCACCTATGGAGTAGTATAGGGCCAAAGTTATAGTTCTAGTATTTGCAGTTGTGTCCCACAACTAACTCCTGAAGACTTTCAAATAACATTGTTCCTTGTGGAGACCCTTTTCTTGGTATTTTGGCAGTTTTTCTTATCTGTCGGCATAATGTCCAAAGTAACATACGGATATTTAGGAGCAAAACAATGTTATAATACAGCCATTCTCAACCTTTTCTTGGCCACAGTCATAAACACAGTATGAAAGAAATACAGGCATAACAAACCTTATAAGGTGGTGAGTGAAGAACTATATCCAGTCAGTGGCCCCCTTCAAATGTGCCAGGGGCCTGCATATGGCCCTCATTCAGAATGAATTTTCCAAGATCACTGCTTCTTTCTCAGGAGAAAGACACATATTTGAATCTTAGGTTTAGTTTTAGTTGTCTTCTGTCATAATATGCACCAATTTCCTCTAATGTGCCCATTATGTGATGTTCTATCATATGAAAACTGTCAGCAACTCAGCAGCAAGTAAAAATCAGCATAAATAAAATTTCTGGTGCCTTGGGAAAGTGGTTGCTTATTGGTATAGAAGTTAAACAAAATAAAATCACTACACTGCCCTGGGGTAGGCCAGCACCAACATATGGTCAGAATGATTACTGACCCTCCAGGCAAGTAGTGGTGAAGGTTGTAGTCCAAAATATCTGATATGCACCAAGTCGGGAGGGCTCATTTTCACCCTTTCAATGAACATTGCTTTATTTATCCACTTTATGTTCCTCAAGGAAAATGTAAGTCAACATATAGTTTGTTTTTTAAAATAGTGCTACAGGGGATCAGGAGTCACAAAACTGCATGGCTCTGCTTCTTTTCAAATCCTTTGGAGTCACTCTGAACTAATTACTTCTGATAACCATGTGATACTTTTGCATGTGTTGAATGCATATATTGCATAACATGATATTCAAGTAATATAACAGCAATAGTAAAAGCCAATAATTTCCTTACACTAAAACTGGAATCTGGATCTGACAGTGCTGTTGCAAGGTGCTTACGTAAATTAGTCCAGTTCTCACAGCTTAATATATCAGATGGAGGTGCAGAACACAACATTTGTATGGCTTCTTGGCGCACCTACAACATCAAAGGTGAGATGTGAGAGTCAAAACTATTATTCAAAAAAGTCCTGCTTGTTTATAGAAAAGGAAGGTCATCAACCTCTACTCAAACAAACAACTTACTGTTGTTTATTTGTCTCTCCTACCCACTTGATACACAATTCTTACTTCGATATTTCTTTCCACTTCTCTCCTACGCAAGAGTCTACTTAGTACCGCTCTCCATTTGCCTGTGCTCCGCTTCTATCTTTCTGCAGCAGTAGTACAGAAAAGAGTTTATCTATGTCTGCTGGCAATGTTTATTTCTCTTCCCTTCCTATATACTCTTTTTCCTCCTGCAAATGGCAAGGCTTCATGATGACCAGCTCAATACAATATAGAAATGGTCTCCAGCAAAAGGGAATAATGTACACACTGGGGCTTGTTAGGGACTCCATTTGCACCACATTTGTTTGCATCCACTGAAAATCTGCTAATGAAGATCAATGAACTCAGCAAGAATAAAGGGCCACAGCAGTAGTAAAGTACATTTTCCATACAAGACATCTCAAACTGAATCATCAGAAGTGGTGTAACCCAGAATCCAAGCAGGAATTGTTTAATTAGCAGAAGCCATACTGTGAAGCCACTCAATTCTAATGCAATGGCTCTAATGTATTAATATAATAATTACACCCTGTCAAGTTAACTCCAACTTTCCATGGTTTTACAAAGTACTGAGAAGTAGGCTTGCTTTCTGGAGGACATTCTGGCACCTTGTAGTCTGACCAAGGCCAAACAGGCTGGCTCCTCTCCTACAAGCACAGTGGAGAATCAACTCCCGATTAGAGATGCGCACAAACTGCAGATTTAGCGGTTCGTGCCAGTTCATCCTTGGGAGAAGCTGTTGTTCCCAGCCTCACCTCTTTCAGCAAGGACCCACTCAGTGGGTGGGCACCTGCCAAAGGTGGCGGAGCTGGGAAGTGCTGAACACCTGTTCATCCCAAAATGGAACTGGCACAACCACCAAACTGGCAGTTAACGCCCATCTCTACTCCATATCTCTGGCTCCACAGGTGCTCCTAATCAATGAGTTAGCCAGCCACTTGGATTCTGGGCTATGCTGCTAGAGGTGACATTATTTCTCCTGAACTGAAATAAATTACAGAAGAGAACATTGGCCATTATCTCTCACAATCATCAATATAAAGTGACCAAAGGAAACACAAGCCTTATATAAAGGCAGAGATCTCAAACTAGTAAATTACACTTCAGTATTTCTACCCTAATCTGTTTCTAAACTAGGAAATTATAGTTCTCACTACCCAGAAATCAAGATCATTTTATTTTTAAAATATTAAAATAATTTTAAAACATAAAAAATGCATTCTAAACAAGACAAAAACACTTTGGTATTTAAACTCTTGGTTCTCAAACTGAAGCACCAGCTGTAGGTTATGAAGAAATTCCAGAGGGACCATGAGAACTGAGATATTAATTATCTTTCACATTAACTGTATTTCATTTCTGATGTTTCTTAAAGTAATTTATATTTTTATTAGTTCTTTTGACAATAAAAACTGCTTATTTTTAATCTGAACTGTGCCAATTTTAATTTGAAATAACGTTTGCTATATTTCTGTTTATTTTTAGTTTAGTTTAATTTTAAATAAAAAACTAAAACGTTTGTTAAAAGGGGTTGGTTGGTGGCAAGTAACAGGTACCAAGGCATGAGGGTTTCTCCAAACCAATAGGTGACCTCCAACTTTAAAAAATCTAGGAACCACTGATTTAAACCAATAACATCTGATCTAATTTTTTTTCTTTAGCTCCTTCTAGCCTGCTGATGTGTGCTGTTTTAAAATTAATATTTGTATCTAAAATGTTTTTGAAATATTTTTGCTATTTTTGCCATAATGATCTAAAATGCCTTTCAAAATGAGAATAGTCCTATAAGGGTGGAGTTTCCTCTATTAATATGGGCTTAAATTGTGCCAGAACAAAAATAAGAAGGTATTAGTTTTATCTGAAACATCTTGCCTTTTAGACTCACCTCCTTGGATTGTGCAGGATCAAGCCTTTCTACAAGCAACTGCAACTGTTCTTGGTTCATGAATGTATAACTCTGCAATACATTGCAAAAGCTCATTAAATAGATCATATAAAAACAAAGGTTTAATGGCTATGGTAATTAGCCAATAGTGATACTTAAATTATTTTCAGTGTTTCACATTATGTTGCTGAAATACCAAAAACTATATTTTAAATTATTATATCTACATACTGTATGTTTCTTATGTGCTGTCAAGTTAGAACCAACTTATGGCAATTTTAATAAGATTTTCTATGAAAGTAAAAGTGCTCTTACAAATTTCACCCCCTCACCCCCCATTACTTTCCATGACCAAGAGGGGATATAACCCCAGGTTTCCTGAGTCCTAGTCCAGCACTCTGTCGAATACATCATGTTGTGTATCATGCCTCTTAGTACTAATCCCCCCAAAATATATGAAAGAAGTTTAAATGCATATTAAAATGTTCAGATTGTATTGTTAACCAACCGAATACAAAAGTATTGAAATGAAGCAAAATATCTAAACGTAATGACTATCAAAACTCTAGGCAGATCTTCCCTTCATTTCAGTAGAGAGGGATTAGTCCTGTATATCCAGGAAAAGTTTGTGAAGAGACTTTCTCTTGACTAAGCTGAAAGAAAAACCTTCCTTTTGTGTAAAGAAACAAAAAACAAAATAATGTTGCATCTTTAAGACTAAGGAATATATATCAAGGGTGGACATTTGTGGATTTCTCCTGCAAAAACAGGAAAATGCTAGGTACCTCAGAGTTATACCCTATGATTAAGAGTACAACTCTGAGGACAGGACATTTTGGAGATCATCATTCATTGAATCCCTGTAAACTGGAGGTGATTTGACAGCATGTAACAACAGAGTTACACACAAAATAGGCTACCAGCTAAATGCAGTTTGGGTCTCTAGCCCTTGATCTAAATGGAACAGGTTTTATTTACTGATTTTGTCATTACAATTTGAAGAAAATACAGCTCAAGTCTAGCACAACAAGAGCAACAGGCATATCAAACTGCTTTCACAGAAACCATCTAGGGCACTCAATTACCTTCAATGTAAATGCATTTAGGTATGATAGCTATTTTTCTGGCCTATCTGTGGAAACAGGAGGTAGGGTGGGAAAGGTTATAATGCCAGCTAAGATGGTCACATAATAATTCTAATCTTCTCACCCCCATCTGCCCATTTCCTCAATTTCATTATTTTAGCAGATTCTGTAACAACTGGTGCCTTGTTCCTGAAACCATTTTCACTGCAATCCCTTCCTCACAAAGCTTCAAGACATACTTGCACATGCGTTTTGGACACAGTTCAATACAACTGACTTCAAGCCCTTGAACAACTGAGCTTTGCAAAACTGTCTGATACATGCAACGCCTGATAAAGGATGTTTTATTGTGTGTTTTCTTCTTCTCTCTTTTGACCTTTGAGACAACAGCTGTGTCCAGGAGATGGGCAACACAACTGTCAAAGGCACTGTACCATTGCAATACAGCAAAAAGACAAGGGAACACTAGGGAACGCAAGAAGAAGAGGAGTGAATATACAAGCAGAAGGCCAGCTATGTATCCAAAGTAAAGCAGATGATGGCCAGCCAGTCAATGAAATATTATCTTCAAGACTCACAGAGATGTAAACAGTCTTCCACATCCATACGTATGCTTTATAGCAGTGGTTCTTAACCTTTGTTACTCAGATGCTTTTGAACTGCAACTCCCAGAAACCCCAGTCAGCACAGCAGGTGGTGAAGGCTTCTGGGAGTTGCAGTCCAAAACTCCTGAGTAACCCAAGGTTAAGTTATTTATTTATTTATTTATTTATTAGATTTTTATCCTGCCCTTCTAGACTATATCTACTCAGGGCGGCTCACAATAAAATTATTCATAAAACAATTAAAACCATGAATTATTTCATACCTGATTAAAAGAAGAATCACTATCAGAACAATTATCTGTATAGTAACTGCTGTGTTGTTCTGTTTTCACTTTTCTCTGCATCTCTTTGTAGCGCATCTGATCTTCTTCAAATTTATTAATCAAGGATTCAACCACAACCATCATGACACTCTTCAGAGAATTCATCATTTCTCTATACCTTCAGAATCAAAGAAATGATTAAAAATAAAACCTAAAATTCATGAGCTGTATTATGCACAAGCTGATATTTAAGCATATTGACCTCAAACATAGATTTTATTTGTTTCTTTGTTTTTCCTTCTTTGGAAATCCAGTTAAGTTCATTTAGACATGCTTGCAACATTTTTTTTCTCACCTGTTTCCAGATTGTACTATGAAGTATATGTATGTACATGATCATACAAACACTCTTGTATTATCTTCTCAAAGTACATGATGCTTTTGAGAAGAAAAAAGGCTTCGAAAAGCTGCCCACCATCACCTTACAGAATCTCTGACAATGTTTTGCTGAATTTTAATAAGCAATTGCTGGCCCACAGGCATGAATTCTGGCTTAACAAGAAGTCTCTGCATTTTCTAATAAATCCTTTCATGTGCAAAGAACCTCATATAGTTGACTCAAAACAGACATGTAACTCCTAAATGTAAATAAATGGCTTATTAGGAATACAGCAGCTCAGAGATTAATTTATAAAAGCAATTAAATACTGATTAAGTAGCAAAGTTGTTCACAATGACATTTTTTATTTCCTCCTGCAGAACAAGGCCATCCACATATAACTGAGATTACTTTTAAGATGCTTCTAAGATTGATCTCACCATTTAAAGGTTCACTGAAATTTCCTATAAGGGAAATTTCCTTTAGTCCTTGGAACCTCTGTATTCATCTCATATGTTTCCATATGAGGTTATATGTTTAATCATATGAAAAACAATCCATTTTCCCAATTATGTTTTATTTATTACAAACTTACAGTTACTCTGACAGAAATAATTCAGTTTTCAGTTTTTTGAACGTTTTCCTTAGGCTTTGTAACATTATCAAACAATACAATTTTATAATTCTGCTATTCTTGCTAAATACTGCTCACAAAGTATAAACTCTAATCCAAAATCAATTCAGCATAGGGTGCACTAATCACTACCATACTCACAACAGCCTCACCAATTACTGTAGTGTCAAGGTCAGATTTATTGTCACATCCCCATGACACTGCCTCTGGCATTACTCCAAATAGGGCACATGTCACATAGCAGAAGGTTTTTTTTTTTAACTAACACACCTAAAGAGCTCTAGGCAGCCATTCTCAACCTTTTTTTGGCCATGGCCATAAACACAATATTAAAGAAGTATACGCCAAATCAGGATTGTATAAGTCACATAATGAACCTTATAAGGTGGTGGAAGAATTATTTCCAGTCCATGGCTTCCTTCAAATTTATCAGGTCCCACCAGGGGAACATATGGCCCCTGCTGAGAACGGCTGCTTTAGAGCAATCCCTTCTCAAATCACTTTTCAAATTAACAGAATATGCAAAACTAAACAAATAAAATCTATTACCTCCTTGATTCAGCATAATAAAGTCTTTTGCGGAATGCTGCTTAAAATATTAGTTAAAATCCTGTTATTTAATATAGCAAATTGGAGCAGTGGGGCAATGGGGAATTAGAAAAAAATTACTTCATCAACTCTATTGATTCAAAAGGGCCAACTCTAACTGCTATTTACTATGCTAAGCAACAGAACCCGGACAAGACGGAGGTCTTGAGGGTGGGTGGCCCTTCCATTAGTGGTATAGGTGACTCCCTTTCTTTTGGGGGGACAACCCTTACTGCAAAGAGTGAGGTCCGCAGCTTGGGGATACATCTGGACCCTGCGGTTTCCATGGAAACGCAGGTGGCGTCCGTGGTCCGTTCTGCCTATTTCCATCTATGGCGGATTGCCCAGCTGCGTCCATATCTTGATCAGGGAGGCTCTCACTGACTCTAGTCCATGCACTCGTAATATAGAGATGAGACCATTGTAATGCACTCTACGTGGGGCTGCCTTTGAGGTTGATGTGGAAACTTCAGATTTTCCAGAATGCGGCAGCCAGGCCTCTTAGTGGGGTGAGAAAATATCAGCATATCTCCCCCACTCTGGCTGCCTTGCACTGGTTGCCCATCCGTTTCTGGATTGACTTCAAAGTGCTAATGATTGCTTAGAAAGCCCTAAACGGTTTGGGACCGCAATATTTGGCAAATTGTTTTCTCCAACCTAGATCTACCCGAATCACCCGATATAGCCAGCAGGGAAGGCTGAGGGGCCTGACGCCGAGGGAGGCCGGGAAGAAAAAACAAGAAACCAGGTCTTCTCGGCGGTGTCCCCTCAGCTGTGTAACACCCTCCCAACTGAAATTCGGCTGGCACTCTCGCTGGATGTATTCAAAAGCCAGTTAAAAACTTGGCTATTCAAGCAGGCCTTCTTTCCAGTCAATTGAGTTCGATTTTTTTCTACTTTTTCTCTTTTCTCCTTGAGTCATGCCACCTTGGTATTGTGTTGTTTGGAACTAATTGTTATAATTGTATTTTGATGATTTTATATATCTCATACTGTTGTGTTTTTATCCATGTAAGCCACCCCGAGTAGACATTGTGTAGAGGGGCGGGGTAAAAATCAATCAAACAAACAAACAAACAAATAAATAAATAAGAATTTTGGCGACTATTTTTGAAAGCCTATTATGAAACAAGTAAATAAAAAATAAAGCAACAAAAGGGAAAAGCTGCCATTTGGGGGGATTTAGTAGTCTGATTTTTCTAAGATACAGTGGTGCCTCGCAAGATGAAAGTAATTCATTCCGCGAGTAGTGCCATCTTGCGAAATTTTCATCTTGCAAATAGCAATTTCCCATAGGAATGCATTGCAATGCATTCCTATGGGAAACCTCGCAAGACGAATGAATTATTTTCGTCTTGCAAGGCATTGGCCTTGCGGGGGGAAAATTGTCTTGTGAAGCACGGCCATAGAAGAAGCCGTCTTGCGAGTCACCAAAATCATCGCAAAACACTTTCGTCTTACGAGTTTTTCATCTGGCATGGTGTTCGTCTTGTGAAGCACCACTATATTTTGTAAAATATTATGATGTGTACTAACTTTTGAACTTTTTGGTCTTATATAGTAGTAAAGAATACCTACTGAAATCCAGCAAAATTAGTTTTGAGAAGGACATAATTCTTTTGCAATACCTCTGACTTATCTAAATTTTATACAATTGCAGCTGCAGTCTTACACATCTACTTTACATTAAGCTTCCCTGAATACAGTGGGACTTTCCCCCACAGTAAAAAGCAGGGATAGGATTGCACTGTGTAACAACAAATTTAATGAACAAAGAGTATGCAATTTTACTAACAGTAATTAGCACTCTTGTTTGGTAATTAATTATGAAGGAAAAATCAACATCTCCAAGTTGGACTAAGAAAAATTATATAAGTTTCCAATTTTACACCTGAAACTGTTTTCTTCAAATGTTTAAAGTCAAATGTAAACAGATAAGCAGCAAGGCATCACTGTTAAGACTGACAAGATTTCAGAAGGAGTGTTTCAGGTACTAACATTCATAAGAAGGAACACACAGTTAAGCAAGACATTCTCTTCAGAAAATGTCATTTTATATGGATTTGTACATTTACTTACTCTTTTGATTCTCGTGTCTTTTTGGTAACATGCTGCACAAGTGTGTCATAGCCAGATACTTCACCCTGATTTTGTGCAGAAGTACATTTCTCTGTTTCTTCTTCTATCACGGAGCCCAAGGTGTTACTTATATATTGCCTAAGATACTTCACAAATTCATAACTGTAACAAACAATTAATTGAATTTGTTACGCCATGGTATTTCAAATTGTTTTTAATATTACATAAACTCTATTTCCTCACACTACTGTCAGGATGTTCAATTAATTTTGGAAAGGTATGATACGAAGTTATCAGAAAAGTTTTACAGCAGATTTTCACAGGCAAAGTGAACTTAATAAAATAAAATAATTTTATTTATAACCCATCTTTCTTCTGAAGGAGGGACCCAGAGGAGCTTCCAATTAATGTAATCAAGTTAACTAGAGGTGCAATCAGGCAGGCATTTAACCCACTACAATGGTGCCTCAATTTACAAACCTAATCCGTATTGGAACGGTGTTCGTAAGTCAAAATGTTCGTAGGTCGAAGCACCATTTTCCATAGGAATGCACTGAAAACCGATTAATCTGTTCCAGCTGAAGAAAAAAATCACCAAAAAAAAACAACACAGCAAGCCCGGTCGGAAGGTGATCCGTTGCTGAGGTTTAAGAAGAAAAAGCCTCCAGAAACAAACACTAAAGCCACCTCCGTTGCTGAGGTTTAAGAAGAAGAAAACTCCATAAACAAAAAGTAAAGCCACCAACAACACAGCACAGACACATACCCACCCTAGCCAAAACCCACCCAGAACAGTTTTTAAAAAGGAGAAAACAGCAGCTTACCTCCCTGTATACACACACACACACACACACACACACTCCAAATAAGAAGGGGGCTCTCCCAAGCCTCCCACAACGACACACTCTCAAACTGCCAAAAGTGAAAGAGCTACAGCACAAAGCAGTCTCGTCACCACCTACAGTTAGAAATCTGAATTGTCTGCCTTTTTTTCTGTTCGTAAGTAGAAGCTCCATTCGTAAGTCAAAGCAAAATGCTGAACACACACACACACACACACTCCAAATAAGAAGGGGGCTCTCCCAAGCCTCCCACAACGACACACTCTCAAACTGCCAAAAGTGAAAGAGCTACAGCACAAAGCAGTCTCGTCACCACCTACAGTTAGAAATCTGAATTGTCTGCCTTTTTTTCTGTTCGTAAGTAGAAGCTCCATTCGTAAGTCGAAGCAAAATGTTGAGACCAGAGCTGTTCGTAAGCTGAAATGTTCATAAGTAGGGACGTTCCTAAGTCGAGGCACCACTGTATATGGTTCACTGTGGGGATGGGTTGGTTCACTCCTTTTTGCAGAGATCACAAAACAAAATCACTGGGGTAAACTAGCCTCTCACCAGAGTATTTCTACCCTTTGGAATAAACTTCCTACAGAGGTTTACCAAGCGCCATACCTATATTCTTAGAAAGCTAATTGAGACAGAATAATAGTGTAAATAGTGACATGAGATGCTCAAATGAGTTTTAAATTGTGTATTTCTATTTAAAGACAGATTCAGTATTTTAGCTAGTGACAAGGTTTATTGTATTCTATTGTATTTGCTACATGATTTTATTTTATGTTGTGAACCACCTAGCGAGTTATCACACTAATGGGGCTGGGTATAGAAGTAGAAATATACGCAAATACACTTTCTGGGTTCCTATCAGGGACTTCTACATCTTTGGTGCAGGAAAAATTGCTGTTTTGGTGTTTTAGCTCGTTTCCAGCACATACAAATCAAAGCAAGCTTGTGGCTGTCAAGGCTCCTTCCACCGTTAATTCTCCATATTGTGAAGTGGCCTAAAAAGACAGTCACTGTCTTTTTGGCAAAGTATACACTTATTTTGCCAAAAGATATTGGCAAAGCATACACTTATTTTGCCCATGGAGAAGCAGAACAAGTGATTTTGTTTTACACTCTATTAAAAATTGTAAAAAAATGGAAACTTCTTTTCAGAAGCAGGAGGAGACAGGATGGAGCAACAAGGGGCTTTTTCCTTTCTTTATTTTTCAAGCTGTCTTAAAGACTGGATTGAGAACCAACATGCAGCCAAATACACCCTTTTCAAATCCAGACCACTACTATGAGCCCATGTGGATAAAACCTAGGTATTTAATTCCTATGTAAAATTAATAAAATGTATGCTTTTCTATCAACTAAACTTTTTGAATGTCTTTCATAAACTAAAAGAACATTGCATTCTGTATAATGCAATTAGTCATGTTGTAATATAACACAGAACTGTGATACGGAAGGAGAGAGGAAAATTTAAAGACACCTTTTGCTATATTTCACAAACAAGTTTGCAAGATTACTATAATGCCTCAGTGCTTGCCTGTATCATGCTATCCTGCATGACACAATCAATAATTGCTTCTATCTGAGTGGCTTGTCAGAATCATTCCTCACATTACGCTATGATGTACAAGTGAAGATAAGTGAACAGAAAAGGATTGTTATAGATTGTTATTTATTTTATCCTTCATATCTATGAAATTGTAACAGTTCATTTTTAAATAAACTGATATTATGAGTACTAGCAATGTGTTGAAGGGGAAGGAATTAAACACAATTTTTTAAGAGTCAACTAAAAACATGGGGAAAAGGATTGTTATAGATTGTTATTTATTTTATCCTTCATATCTATGAAATTGTAACAGTTCATTTTTAAATAAACTGATATTATGAGTACTAGCAATGTGTTGAAGGGGAAGGAATCAAACACAATTTTTTTACTAATTCTAGATTGTATACAGTTATTTAGATATAAATCAAATAAATAAATAAATTACTAATTCTAGACTGCATACGGTTATTTGTATGTATGGTTTAATTACTGTATGTGGTATCACCAAATTGCTTTAGAATATATATTATGCTATTCTGGAGTTTGAGGATTGTACGTTTTACAACACAGAAGGCAGACAGAGTTCTAACTGCTGTCATCTGAAGATGCCAGCCAGAGAGACTGGTGAAACATTAGGAAGAAAAACCTTCGGAACATGGCCAAACAACCCCAAAAAACATGAGAGTTCTAACTGCTGTCATCTGAAGATGCAAGCCAGAGAGTCTGGTGAAACGTTAGGAACATGGCCAAACAACCCAAAAAACCTACACCAACCATTAGATCCTGACCATGAAAGCCTTCGAGAATACATTGTAAGTTTTAATCTTATAAACTGTTCAATGTAGAGCTTTCGCTAATGGTACAGTATATAAACTGAATAAATGAACAAACAAATAAATATACAGGTCAGTTTCCATTACAGACTTGTAATCACTACTAAATTCCTTCAATGTCCACAAAGTAAAGATTTTAAATTACTTGTGAAAATTTTCATCTGTTTCCTCCAAATGCAACAGAATCTCTTCTGCACACTCAACAGATGGTGCCCCTGTGATTTTCTCTTTTACGCTTTGCAGTAACTGTCTGAGCATAGACTGCAAAAGAGCTTCATCTTCACTCGTAAACTGAGACATCTGCAGAAAGAAGCATAAGAAAAACACATAAAAATACAATACTGTGCACTTCCACAATCCAGTTTACTATCTACTAAATATTTCATGGATTTGCACACATAAGAGAACAGTACGAATAAAATCCTGTGTATTATGAGAAACAAGCTGGATTGTTTGATTGTAATTCTAAACCAGAATGTCCTATCGTTAACAGCTCTGCTCAGATCTTGCAAACCAACATCTCATGTCAGATTGTTCTCTTCCTACACCCTCCCCTTCCTAGCAATATTGTCTTTTGCATTAAGTTCTGCTCAGATATTGCAAACTAATAGCTGTAGATTCATTTATTGAGTCAACCATCTGCTCAGATATTGCAAACTAACAGCTGTAGATTCGTTTATTGAGTCAAGCAATCTCATATTAGGTCTTTCTCTTTTCATGCTGCCCCCAATCACACTACGTTGATCTCATATTAGGTCTTCCTCTTTTCATGCTGCCCTCAATCACACTACTTTCCCCAACAATATTGTCTTTTCTTGTCAGTTCCATATTCTCATTATATGTGCAAGGTAGGATAGCCTCAATCTACACATTTTTGCTCTAGTGAGAGTGTAGGCTTGACTCTTACTTACTTATCTTTCTGGTGGTCCATGAAACACCACATTTCAAATCAATTGATTTTACACACACACACACACACACACACACACACACACACACACACACACAGTCCATCTTTTACATAGTGAAAGCCTTGGTTTCACCTTGATTTCAAATGACAATCTTGGCTAACTTCCAGCTCTCTCTTCTTATTGTTATTTCAAAAGACAAGGAGACGTCTCTTGGAGAACATGCAAACAATACGTTTGTAGAGCAAGGGTTCAAAAGTTAGACAATATGTTTGTAGAGCAAGGGTTCAAAAGTTAGAAGACAGCTTTTGAGTCTGCATTCTGAGAAGCAGACACAGCAACATTAATTTACATGAGAGGCTAAAATATGTGTATGTTTCTCTGTTGTATGTGTAGCACTCATTCACACTTTTGAGTCTGCATTCTGAGAAGCAGACAGAGAAACATTTATTTACTTGAGAGGCTAAAATATGTGTATGTGTCTCTGTTGTATGTGTAGCACTCACTCACATTTTTTCCTTTACCATTTTATTAAATCCAAAAAAGCCCTTCAAAATATTTTGGCACAGAGGAACTACAGCCACATGCTGGCTGTGCTTAGTTCTTCCCTTCCCCAGTAACCATATTACAATCATCTGATCATGTTCTGGAACTCTCTATCACTGGGTAATTCTACAAGGGAAGTTGCTCTTGGAATCTGTATGTAATGTATATACACTTAAAACTTCAAATTTAAAAAAGCAAAAAAAAATCAATTCTTCTTGGAATCTGTATGTAATGTATATACACTGAAAACTTCAATTTTAAAAAGCCAAAAAAATATCAATTCTTCAAAAAAAAATCTCCAGTTTATGAATGTGGGATATTGCGCTTCTGTATCCAAGATTCAAAACAACATGAAATGGCTCAATATTGCTGCACGATGTCATACTCACATTGCCAGCTGGAAAAAGCATGACAAGCTTCTTCTTCAAAAAAAAATCTCCAGTTTATGAAATGGCTCAATATTGCTGCACAAAGTCATACTCACATTACCAGCTGGAAAAAGCATGCCAAGCTTCATATAGCAAAAGGCAACCTGAATGTTGATAACACCAATATCAGCAGTAAAGATGGTCTATATGGTACCTTCTTGTGCTTGTTACCATTCTTAAACAGACACTAGGCAGGGGAAATCCCAGAACCCTACTCCTTCTTCCGTCAGTTAACTTCTCATCCAGACACAAAGCAATTGTCAGGGCTGTTTTTCAATTAAGTGGGTTAATAAAAATTAGTAGCACAACTTTCAGACATGTCAGAGTGGGGCACTTAAGTTTCATAAAGGCTAAGTGATTTCTCAAAACTATAAGGGTTTAGGGCTTCGTATCGTGTTCAAATACAGCATATACACAAATATACCCTCCTATTTCTTCAATTCTCAGCACACAGCACTCCCTAAAAGCTTTTACAGAGTTTGGAGCAAAGAGAATGGGACTTAGCTTAGTAACCCTCTCAGTAGGAACAGGATTGCTACAAGATTCTAACTTTGATTTTATGCTACAATTATTAGCTAGAGAGCTAATAACATTCTTGCCAGTTTATAACTTTCAAAGCCTCAGTTCTTTTCATTATCCTCTTTTAACAGCAACAGTGCATCTTACACCTAACATAGTTTAAAAGGGCTGTCATGAGTATGGCTATCTTTATTAATAGAGCTTAACAGCAACAGTGCATCTTACACCTAACGTAGTTTAAAAGGGCTGTCATGAGTTTTGGCTATCTTTATTGAGAATATAAGCTATTGTTCTGAGCTGACAGCTTTGGTTTCCGAGTAAAGGAAAACTAGGGTTTTAGGAGTCCTCAGTGCCATGGGCCATCTTCAGCCTTAAGAATATAAAACCAGTAAGGGTTTAGGAAATAATAGGATCAGAAACAGCAACAGACTTGTTGCATACACAGATAAAAAGAAGTGGCAGGAGTTACAAAGTCAATTGTGCTTTTGGACCTGACAGAAGCAATATGTGAGGTGCATATTTTTTTCAAAATCAGAAGACCTGTTACTGGCTAAATCATGTTATTTATATCCAAAGGGATGTAACTATATATTCGTAAGTAAAACAAATATTACAAGGATGACGTAAGTTTCCAGTGCTCTCTCAATCCAAAGAAAATAAACTTTCCACAAACTTTAGAAAGTACTTCAACGGCACGCAAAGTCTATCTATTTCTGTGTTTATTATATACAGTATATATATAAAGCCCATTTGCCTATACCAACTTTATCTGCAATCCTCGTAATAAACCTGAGCAAGACCAAGACAAATGCTGGTTTGATTGTAGAAGGCAAATCCATGCTACAACACTCACAGTGAAACCATGAACTTCTCTGAGTAGGGTAATATTAATGCCTACAGTCAGCAGATAATTAATATCGCTGACACAGCTCACACATTATTTGTTGGAGCATCTTTCCCCAAAGTAATCTGCCCGACCCATAAGGTCATATCAGGCAAGGCTCCTCTGGACTGTCAACCCAAGGGAAAGCCCATAAATCATCTACAAGAGGCAGGGCGGTAGCTCCAACCTTGTGGAACCAGTTTCCAGAGGAGCTTCACCTAACCCCCTCCCTGTTGATATTTAGGAGGCAAATAAAAACACATCTCTTCAGGGATACTTTCCACACTGACCCTAGCTGACCACCCATTTCTCTTTTTTGTCTACTTTGGTTTCTGTATGATGAGTCTGGGCTAACTCCCTTTAATGGTGACTTCCAAATTGCTTTTAAAGTTTTTATCATAATTTCTGGCTTTATATTATACTTATTGTAAACTGCCCAGAGTAGTGCCTTGGCACCAATGGGAGCAATATATAAAAATGAAAAAATGAATAAGGAAATCATGCAAACTCTGGCTTAATAAACCTGGATATGCACAAGTAGCATGAGTGAACAAACCAGGATTCATCACTTAAATATAGCCTGCTACGACACAGCAAACTGAAGATGAGTGGCTGCAAAGATGCCAGAAGATGTGGGTAGTGGAGGAATGGCTGTTGTGGGTTTTTCGGGCTTCGAGAATACAGTGGAGGAATGCTTTCTCTGAAGCTATCCTTTCCCGAGGAGGGCACTAAAATCCTTTATCTGTTTTCGGCTAGTACTGGTTGGTAGCTAGACAAAATAATACCTCATCATCTGTATCAGTTGCATAGCTTGCACGGACTTGATGCAACTGTTCCAGGGGGCACATCCGGATTTCTGAAAAACACCCAGCCGCGAGATAATGCTATAGCCAGAAACAACCACAACACAGGACACCATCCCAAGGCGTGGCAGGCAAAAAGCTGCTGCCTTGCCCCGTCCTTTGGAGGCGGGAGTTCGAGGGAGGGGGAGAGGAGACCAAAAACGAAATGTGGTGGGTTTTTTTTTTAATTCATTATTAAATTGAATACATCCCACGCGGGGGAGAGAACCCAAGGAAAGGATTAAGGCTGTGATAGCGGTGTACTGTACGGGGTTACACGCGGAAACCGAGCCCCGGTGCTCCAGGAGAGTAAAAACGCCCCCCCTCTCTCCCTCACCCCAACGGCTTACCGGAGCAGGGGAGGCCGCGGAGGAGGAGGAAGAGGCGTGCGCCGCCATCTTCTTCTCTAGGCCGGCGCTCCGGGGTTGCCAAGGCGCCGCAGCCTGGCGCCCCTCCAGAGCTCGTCAGGGGAGCGACCTCTCGCGTCGGGAAGCCGGATCGCTCGCTCGCTCGCCGGCCCGCCCTTCTTGCTTCGACCCGGCGCCGTTTGCGTTGCTGTCTTCTTCACCCGAGTCCCGTTGGAGTCCACCGTTTTCTTTTTCGCCGGCCATTCCTATCTTTTGCTTTGAATCAGTTTGCTTTTCCGGCCGGAAAGCTTCCCCCACCCGTCTCCATCGCCCCGTCTGCCCAAGCGCGGCTGGCTGCCCTCTTAACGCCGCCGATGCCGGCTGCAAAGGGGTCCTTCGAGGACCCAGATGTTGTAGGGCTAGGGAAGAAGCTGAGTGCCTCTATTGCCTTGCTCCCTTTGGCTTGGGCTTCGATGGGGAGCTTGGGCTTGCTGGCGAAGGATGCTACTGAGTGAATTTAGAAGATGTAGCCGGCTTAGTCTGCACTAACATGTCAAGCAGAAACCACCTGCTATGTCTGAGGAAAGAAAGCTCTCACTAAAATGTACTTTTTGCCTAATGAGTGAAGACTGTGCTCACAAGCGGGAACCTACTAAGTGCGGCAAGACTGCTGGCATCCTCACGCAGTATTACATCTTAATATGTACAAATGCGGGGGGGGGGGGGATACCTTTAGAGACCACTGAAAAAAATTGTACAGTCTGCAAGCTTTCGTGGATCAGGGCCATCCACTTTGTCAGGCTTATTCCAGTGTGAAGAACATCACTTGCCAAAACTTCATGGCGAGATGGGTCTTTCCAGGAAAGTTTTTCTTAAGATGTAAAGTCCAAATGTTCTTGGCAAGTTGGATTTGGCCAGGCACGTTTTTCTTAGATGTAAGTCAGGAAAGATGCAGGCTGCATCAGGGGTGCTGTTTTATAGTAAAGCTGAGGCAACTTTGGTTTGGGTATCGCACCCCAGATCTTCAAACAAAGAGGGGCAGACCTATGCATGTACAGTATGTTATAGATATGAAGCAGTATTGTAGCAGCTTGCGTTTCCTGGGTTTCCTTCTTGGGACTCTTTCTGTTAGTCCATTTCCCCCTTCACCCTTCTAATAAGCTTAACCAATGTTTCTTTAGGTAGAAATCCTGTTGGCTGTTACACTGGTGACAAGTTGCTGCTTGTATCCATCATGCGCCAATCATCTGAGTTGGTGTGCAGTGAGGGATAAACATTGTAACTCATTGATTGGTATCAATTCATGTTGGCAGTTCGTTTAATTGCATTTATGCTGGTGTAACTAATCTCTAAGATTCTGGCCTCTGTTATATATTATAATATGTTTAATTGCACTGTTAATTTTGTTTTTACTTTAATTTTTGGTTTGTAAACTGGTCAGATGGGAGGTATAGAAGTCAAATAAATAAATAAATTCCTGTCCTTGCCAGTGCAATTCTTGATTACTAATTAATTATATGTTATCTTTCTTTACAATTTATTCCTTACAGTTACTAACATATATTTTCCCTAAATACTATTTCCCTCCAGTTCTTTCCCCCTAGAATTAATCTACTGTACTATTTAATTCACCTTAAATTACTTACTTTCAACATTTTTCAATTTATTCCTGCCAAGTCACAATGTTAATTCCCACCCTCTCATATCTCTATGAATCCACATATTTTATTCCTCCATTAACTCATTGGTGTTTTAACTCTGTGGTCATTTCTTGTACAGTAGGTGGAAATTTCCCTTTCTGCCACTCCGAGACACTAACAAGAATGGGTGTGAGTTATAACATATCCAGGTAATCTTGATTGTGACAAGTGGATTGAAGAAGGATGCACATCTGATAGATTTATAGCACAATGGAGTTTGGTCTTAAATATTGGAATACATATTTTTGTGATATGTGCATTCTTCTGTGTTTTCTTTACTATAACATTGTGGTGGAGTGTATATAGATATCAAATAGTGACATGAATAATAAAAAATCAAATCATAAAGTAGTTCATTTTGTTGTTTTTGTTTTGTTCTGTTAAATGTTGTTTGTCCTGTTAAAGATTTCTCAAATTGGAAAAAAAAGGAGCCATTTTGCATGGGAGAAAAGATACGGAGAAATAGTGGGGGGCTGGAATGTCAGTTCTTAGAGTCACTTGAAAATGCATCCCTGATGGATCCTGAAGCTGGAATGGTGACTCCAAGAATAAAATGGCTACTTGAACTGGAATGAGAAACCTGGAAAGGAAATTATAGTCTCTGGGAGCCAAATGACAACCCCTGAAAATAAAATGATAGAGCAAGTACTGGAAGAATAACTCTTGATAGTAGAATGAGAGGCCTAAGGCATTCTCTTGCAGTAGAATGACAAAGAACTGCAATGGTAGCCCTTGAAATAACAGCTTTTGAGATTTAAATAAATGTTTTCAAAGGTAAGTAAAGCTATAATATTTCCAGGGTCAGTGAGAAAATGGTCCTAAATTCCAAAATTGTTTCCTGCTTTCCTTCTTATACCACTTCTATTGAAATTTCATATTGATTGATTGATTTAAAATATTTTACCCCACCCTTCTCCTTAAGAAGGACCCAAGACAGCTAACATCATTAAAAGGCAATATTTAAAGCTAAAAACAGTAAGTATACAGTTACTAAAGGATCAAACAAATACCACAGTAAAAAAAAGCACCCAAAACACATTCAATGCAGAAAGGCAAAACCATCCATTTAAAAGACCCACTTAAGACAGTTAGTTATTAATGGAAAGCTTGTCTGAAGAGAAGTCTTTAGATTGAGGAGCTGAATAACTTTTGGGTGGGTTGTTAAGATACAAGTTGAATAGTGTGAGCGCCAATATGCAACCTTGATTTCTGGATCCGACTGGGTGCGGTAAACAAGTGTTTGTGAATTTGAAGCATTTCTTTTATCCTTATCTTTTTTCCTTATTCTTATCTATTATTTTTAGCAACATTTTCTCTTTGTCCTGGTTGACCAGGCTGAGACCCTGCAGAAAAAGCTATTGTAGCGTTCACACTTATTAGGTAACGTAGTTATGAATGTTCATGTTTTAGGCTAATGTTGCTGAGTGGTGGAGATGAGAGAAATGTAATAAAGAGGTGGAGTTAGAGAGCAGTCAGTCAGTAAGAGTCAGTCAGAGTGGAGAAGGAGAGTGTGGTATTTGGGAGATCCGAGGTGATTAGAGTGAAAAGAGAAAAAGAACTGTAATGAAAAATAAAAGGTTGAGATTAATGATAATAGAAGTTACCTATGATTAATATTCAGATATCTGTATTCAATAAAAATGTTTATTTAAAATACAGTGAAGTTTGGACCTGCATCTTAATCTTTCCATACTTAATGTGGATTTAGTGATGAACTGGTGGCAGTGGGGTTAAAAGAAGATTAGTTTGCCTTCGTGTGCTCTGTGTTTGGATGGTCAGGCAAGGGGCACGAGGGTGAACACCACAACTGTCTTTTACCCAAGACTGAAGTGTAGGAAAGTTTGGAGGAGTTTACTCCTCAGAACATAAACAGCTTATTACCAGGACTCATTATTGGGGACTCAGCTTTCCTCTCAGCTTCTGCTACTGTTGTCACTCCAGCCTTTTGCTATGGAGGTTTAGCAAACAGAAGAGCTTGGGAAGCGTACTTTCTGTTCCTATTAAGGTGGTAATTCAGAATCTCTAGATAGGCTATTGCAAACCTATGGCACACGTGCCACAGCTGGCACGCAAAGCCCTCTCTGCGGGCACACGAGCCATAAGTTGCCCTATCAGTACTCCCCCACACACCCCGCAGCCAAACCTGAGGCGGTGGCTGCAGCCACAGTGCTGGTGCCCCGACAGGCAGTGGGCCAGGATCCTGAGCAGCTGGCACTGAAGTGAGGTTTCAAGGGACCTCTGTGCCTGACAGGATCCGGAGCAGCTGGCACTGGTGGCAAATCTGAAGTGAGGTTTCAAGGGACCTTTGTGCCTGGGATTCCCCCTCTGCTGCTACTTCTGGTTCTGTTGCCCGCCACCTGCTGGGTTTGTTTTGTTTGGTTGTTTGTTTTTCAGTTTGGGCACTTGGGCCCAAAAAGGTTCATTGTCACTGCTCTAGATCCTGTATTTTGTATCCAGTATTAATCCTGTATCTCCAATCTGAACTTACAGAGAATCTACTGAGAATGGAGCAGTCTATTTTCTGTATTGATGAAACACCTGATCAAATACAGTACTTGATCTTATTCAATCTCCCCCAGTGCTACAACAGGTGTTAAGATGTCCTTCTATGACCATTACCCCAGTGATTGAGTTTAGAACAAAGAGAAAGAAAAGTGAAACCTTGGATCACTCACTAAAGGACAAATTCCTGAGTAGTAAGAATGACATTAAAACTCTAAGAACAAGGAGACAAACCAAGATGACAGACTACATCTGGAGGCAAAAATCAGATCACTCAGGAAGGCTAAGCAATTCATTAACTGATCTACCAAATTCAGTCACTGAGCAGAGGCACCTCCTGGATCTCAGTCACTTGAACAGCCTCCTAAGTGATTACAGTGGTGCCGTGACTTACAACAGTCTTGACTTGCAACCAATTTGAGTTACAACCAGCTCCAGTCGCAACATTTTGCTTTGACTTGCAACCGGCACTTTGAGATACAACCAGAAAAAATACCTATTTTCCCCATTGTTCCCTCCATCCTTTTCTGCCCATTTTTTAACCTTAGAGGTCATTTTAGGTTTAAAAAAATGTTCCTCCCTAGCCTAGTGGACGGATTAACCATTTTTTCATTAGTCCCTATTTTTAGTTCCTGCTGGAATGGGTTTGTTGTTGTTGTTTTAGACTCCAAGCTCTTCCCCGCCCCCAATTGTCTTCTCTCTCTCTCTCTATCCTCTCTCTTTTTGTGCCTAAAAGCACAAACCTTTGTTTGAGGGATCTATGTACTCCAGTGATTAAACCAGTAAACATGCACTATAATCCAAGATGGTAAGGTGTGAATTTAAGATACAGCAGGAGGGAAAGCCTGCCCAAATAACTAGGTCTTGAGTTTGCTTCTGAAGACACCCAGAGAGGGAGCCAGGTGGATCTCCACAGGCAAGTTGTTCCAGAGATGAGGTATTCAATGTATTCCTATGGGAAATGGTGCTTTGAGTTACAACCAACTTGAGTTATAGCCATCATCCCGGAACAAATTAAGTTTGCAACTCAAGGCACCACTATACTTCGGCAAGCTGCAAACAGAATATTTTACATCTCCGGTATGCAATAGGAGCACTCCTGCAGTTACTCCTGTAGACTTGTCTGCCAATCACAACAATACTCATCCTGAATATCCAACAAAGCTCACCACATTCAGGGAGAACATAGTTAAGGAGTTGATGGACCTGAGGACAACCACATCTAATATTGCCCAAAGTAATCAAGTCCCTATTCCACCTTAAGGAGGCACTTTTTCATCTCCGAACACCCTACTGGAAATTAGAGACTCACTAAAGGAAATAAAAGGTCTTTTAGGGCGGTTGGTTGATCTAATGGAGGACAGGGTTATTTCTTCTTTAGCCACTCCCCCTGAAAATACTTGAACATCTAATCTACCATTGTGGGCAGAAGCAGATGAAAACTTTAATTTATCATCTGATACCATCCAGAAAATTGCCAGCCTCACTTATGAAGAGCTCCTGTCCTGTGT